GATACCTGTTGATAAGCCCCCCCCCCCCCCCCTATATTGAATTTATAAGTCTATATGACGTTTTACCAAAATATTTAATATTATGAACTATATTAAACTTCAATTAATCAAAGATCTGCAATGAAAATAATTCTATCTTTATTAATTTTATGTTTAAGTATTTATATCATATGGAATTAAAAAATCTAGAGTTGTCAAATATGATTTAAAAATAATAAGCATCAATTAATATGACTTTGTTTATTTTTATTAAAATACAATTCTTCCATGATATATATTTCTTTCACACTTTGATATATTTCACATGTAACGAATGTAGTTATGACTAAAACTCTAAATATATCAAAGTAGCACATAGGTCCTCCATTTTAAACCTACTAATCATACCGACCGTATTCGTATATTATCAGTTGTCAATACAATATAGTAACGGGAACTATATATTTTCAGTACTGACAGTCAACTGGTAATATATGAATATGGCCCCTATACCAATAATACTAAGCACTTATTGAACTACAGACAATTAAATCGAAATAGTCAACAGATTGTCAGCATTTCGGATCAGATAAAAGGAATGCGCTACTTTGGTATATCTAAAACTTTAGTTACGACAAATATATTATCACATCGCAATATTTAATTAATTGACAAGTGTTTTTCAAATAGTATTGTCAAATCTGGTATAAGAATATCAAAAACTTAAATATATCAACTAAACTTAAACTGAGCAGGAAATGTAATTGACTTGATATAAGCTATTAACTATTTAGGCATACAAATTATGTAACTAAATTAATACCTTGCGTTGTTTATATATTATTGTTACTTACACTTATATTTCAGATAATACAATATTTGAACAAGGAACGTAAAAAGTGTCTTTTACATTTAACTATTAAAAAAATATTAGAGAAAAAATTGGAAATTTCTAATTTCCTATGTCATTTGCACAAATGCAATATTGAAAATATATATATATATATTCCCATACACCCACATATATATATATATATTCATTCTACATTTATATGTATGTATGTATGTGTTTATATATGAAATGTGTGAATGTATATAATTATATATAATCGCCAGTTAAATTAACGTAAGATCAAAAAATTGCACATTACACGATTGCACAGTTGCAATTACAAATGTACCGGTATAGTTGTGAAAAAAATAACATTTCAAAAAGTTAAGTATGATTACGTTCTTCAACTTTTTCACTATTATTTTTTTTCTATTATCAGCAAAGAAACCTAAAATATTAACGAATTAAGATAAACGTCCCTCCCTCCCTCCGAAATGATCGGACATATACTTACGTCTGAACACTTACACATAATTTATTATTATTAATCTCAAATGCTCTTTTTATTATAATATTATAATTTAACAAAACATTAATAATAATAAATTTTGTGTAAGTATCCCGACAAAGATACATATCCGGTGTGTCACTGGGACTTTTATCTTATTATATATATCTTATAACTAATAGAAAAGTTTTGTTACGAAAATAACACGTCAATATAATTTTAATTTTAAATACATGTAACAATGAATACTGTTTAATTGAGAAATGTTTTGATGCTAACATGTTAGCAGAAGATTATTGTATGGAGTATTTTAAGATATAAATATATATAGTTTTATACTACTCATCGATACAGATAATCGAATTACGACCTTTGCATTGCTTGTAGTGTTCCGCATTCCAATGCAAAGACGAACAACGTTTGGAGCAATAATGAGCTTCCAAGCAAGCCTGACAGTATACCATACTTTTGCGTTTGCATCGTAAACAAAGCCTATCGTCTATCTCATCCGAAATTCCCAAATTGTCATTTATATCCAATGAGTTTTCATCATTTTTAGTCAACGACTCTGAGTTATTTTCAAAAAATGCATTTATATTTTTCATCTTCTCGAATGATGATGGTGATATACTCCTAATGTTCAAGATACTCGGCATGCTATTGGAGTCATCGCTTTTCAGGGAAATATATTCGATATCATCGGCATCACGAAAATCAGTTTTGGCGGAAACTTCTTTTTCATCTACATCGAGAAAATCATCTCTTTGAAAAGAATTAAGTGTAAGAGTATGCGATTTTCTATATTTTTGTTCGGATACATGCTTGAGCTGTTTATTGATTGCTTTAATACCACTGTGAGTATCTATTTTCGTCTTCTTTTTTATATATTTAAGCTCTTGAGTGTCTATATTTATCGTTTCCTCTTCTATAACTTCAGGAAGTTGAAAGTAAATCGATTCTGTCGAGTTGTCTTCGATACTTGATATATCTTCCGGATCTCTAAATTTTGATGAAACAGACATTTTCTGAAACCCGATCTTCTCTATTTTTAATAGTGATTGCTCACTATTTTTGTTGTCCATTTTAATAATAGTGTAAGTATCTATTTCCTCTTCTATGTCTTCAGGAAGCTTTTGTGCGTTTAACTCTATCTTTTCCTCTTCTATATCTTCAGGAAGCTTTTGAATGTTTATTTCCATCGTTTCCTCTTCTATATCTTCAGGAAGCTTTTGAGCGTTTATTTCCATCTTTTTCTCTTCTATATCTTCAGGATATTTTAAATAGATCGACTCTGTCATACTCTCTTCGACATGTAATGTGTCTTTTGAAACTTCACGATTTGATGACATTTCTTGAAACTCTATCTCCTCTGTTATTAATAGCTCATTATTTTCTTTTGTCGTATCTTTATGTTTCTTTATGATCGATTGTATCACACTTTCTCTCACATTGCATTCATCATCAAACTTCAATGATACATTCTGTAGCTGCATCTTCTCTATTTGTAACGACTGGTGTTCCTCATTGAGTTCCTCAATGTTTTGTGCTTCAATTTTGAAATCTTGATATGTATCAGATAAATCTGCCTTAGCAGTGTTTTTGAGAAAAGAAAATGATGTTACTTTCGTAGAATCGCAGCTTATCGTATCAAGTAGTTCTATTGAATCTTGTAATTTTAAGTTATCTTCTTCAAAAAACGACATCTTATCGCACTGGGTTTGCATCTCCACACTTTCGTCGATATACAGTTTCCCAAAACTTTCAAACGTTTCAGTAGAATCATTACTTCGTTCATTTGTAGGATCTTGTTGCTGTATATTTAAGAAAAATTCTGATGTTGCTTCGGCGTGTTCTTTATCTGCGATATGTGGCTCCGATATTTCGGTAGATTTACATTTCTTTCCGAGATATTTTCTCGGAGATATCGATTCCTGTATGTTGTTTGATGAGGACGATTCTGAAATATGCAATATATTCAATGAATCAGACTGTATCTTTGTGGAATTTAATATTTCAATATTCGCTTTCATGTTATCACGCATTCCATCTCGTAAATTTTTATTGGATGTTTCATTATTGATATTATATACTATTTCATTTTGGTCTTCCACGTTATACTGAGCTCGTGATGTCGTATCGTTCTGTTTGCTACTATTTAATGTTACAATGTCAGAAGTTTCGCGTACGCTTTCCATTTCTATATTACTAAATCTCTTATTTATATTATTCGTCGTAATTTCTGATTGATTTTTTGTGTTCTCAGTTGACACATCCTGTAATAAATTAAACAGTAGATTTTGTTTAAGGGAGAGGTCATATGAACTTGTCACTTTCAGAGACTCGTTAATTTTCACATTATCTTGCGTTTTCAAATTCTTGGCAGACACTTCTGTGATCAACTTCTCTTCTGGCGACAATGTTTCTGTACTCCGAGGTTCTTTTTCCGTATCAATCAATGAATCTTTTTGGGATTGCTTCTTTAATATATTATCTTGTTCTTTGATATGTAATCTTGTGTCTTTTGGAAGGGATTCCTTAGTTACCACAGACGTACAAGGTGACTCTTCTAAATTACTCTTTGACGCTTCTAAATTACTCTTTACCGCCGTAGATTTTGAACTCTTTGAAATATTCGGAGCAATACTTTGTTCTGATTGCTTTTCTAAAATCCTATTACATTCTAAACTATTTTCATTGTCTTGATTAAGTAGAGTCGTTAACTTGTCTACGGATGTTTGTATTGTATCCTCTTGTAATGTTGATTTGTTTTGTGACGTATTATCTTGTAAACTTTTTTCGATGGATTTTTTAATCGTCTGTGACTCGTTTATTATGCTTTTTATGTAATCATCTAAATTCACGTACGAGTAAAACAGTATTATTCTCTCATTATGTATTCGTTCGAATTCTTGCTTGCTAAGCAATTGTTTCAGTTCGTCCCACATGATAAAATACGATTTTATTTGATCACGCAATAGGATTTTCTGAATGTCCGTTAGAATCGCCAGATTATTAGGGAACGTAACTTTGTTTCTTTGCTTTTTTCGTTCAATTGCGGACAAAAATAACACTGCATCATTTTTATTTGGAGATATTGTGGACATCATATTTTGTAAGACACTCAATCTTTGTGTAAAAGACCTTGTGTTTTCCGAAACAGTATCAACATTTTGCAATTTGTTGCATGCGCTTAGAATTTCTTGATGCGTATCTTGTTGCAGATTCATAGATTGTGCCTTCTTTTGCATGCGATTTGTATTTTGTGACTCTGCCATCTCTCCTTCTTTATTCAGCACGTTTTCTTGCACATTTTGCAATGTATTGTTAGTCGATAGATTAATTGGATGTATAGATGTATCTTTGGATATTACATACTGGTTTGTTACGGTTGTACTGTTAATTGGATTTTTTGATGTAATGTGTGATTGTTTCATATTGATTGTAGGAGGCATGTTTGGATTCCCTTGATTTATTGGCAATTTCTGCTGCGACATGTTTTGTTGTACATTCTGCGGGATATCATTAATCGATAGATCAATTGGATATATCTTGGATGTATCTTTGGGCAAGATATATCTTTGGCTTTTTTCGGTTGTAGTATTACTAACTACATTTCTTACGATGTATGACTGTTTCCTGTTGGTTGTAGGAGGCATATTTGTATTCACTTGATTTACCGCCAATTGCTGTTGTATCTGCCACACGTTTTGATTTGGCAAAGTATTCTGAACGGGATGTGTTTGTATGTTGGACTGTGCAGATTGAGATACAATAAGATAAGTTTGGTTTGAATTGTATTGCGGCAAATGTTGCGTTTTTCCTGAAAATAGTTGAGATACTTGTGGACTGCAGTTTGCTTGCTGCTGATTCACATTGGTGCTCCCATGTCTAGCATTTTCCATTGCAGCGTTGGTTCTTGAGGTATCAGGATTTATCGTGAAAGATCCAGATAAGTTAACATTGTCACAGCCTGATACAGTCTGACGTATTCCAAGAGAATTATTTTGATTTGTCATAGGCGATGGATGAACTGCTGTTCTTAAGTTTATTTGCGATGTTTGAAGATACATTGGTTTCTGTTGTTGCACGTTATTAGCAGTAGATGCGGTTGCAGTATTGCTAATTGTATTTTGCTGCAAGGTGTGTAATTGTTGTCTCATGTTAGTTGTAGGAGACACGTTTGCATTTCCTTGATTTACTGGTTCACGCGAGCGCATATTAACATTCGATGATGAAATGTTATTCATAATTAGAAAATCCTGTTGAACGCCAACATTCAATATATTTGCTGGCATATATCGGCCTTGTATCGGATAACTCGCATTTTCTAAAGATTGTTGTTGATTAGCGTTCGGTATACGTGACTGTGCTGTAAATGGTACATAAGACATATATGATTGATGAATATTTGACCTAGATTGTCTCGAGTGTGGTACTTGTGTAGAATTAGCTGAATTTCTGACCAATTGCTGTTGGTTAATGTTTGAGATAGTTGGTGCCGGGCACGGCATTGTTGAAGATTGCATGAATGTATCACGATTTAACATTCTTGCATCTGGAAATAAAATATTTCTCGACAATTGTTGCGCGTTAACATTCGACATTGATGCATTTGAAAGTAATCTGTTAATCGGTATCTGTTTCGGATATTGTGATGAGTTTGCATAATTTTGCTGCGAGATGTGTAAGTAATCATAACAAATTTGCACATATTTTTTCAATTCCGGAACTGTCACTGGGTAATTTTTTGGCATATAAAAATTAACGTAAATCAGCGTGCTGTCAATATCCTTCATATACAGCCACGTTTTCAAGTTTTCTAAGTCTTGACTTATTTGTTGCATAGTTATAGATAATCTTTGTACGTAATCTTCAGGAAAATTTATTCTTACATGATTATATTGATCAAGATTGCGACAATATCCAACATTAGTGCAGATATTTTTGATTGTAATCTGTATTAAATTTCTGAGAGTGTTGTTATTATTTGGAATATTAACTTCAACCGGTGCAACCGCGGAACTTGTATTAGGTGAGAGGTATGTATGTTTAAGAGTAGTGTTATATGATGGCGGCGACAGTCGTTTGGATGCTGATTGAGATGTTGATTGAGGAAATGTAAATCGAGGAGGTACCAATAAAGGACGTCCTAATTGAGGACATGTTGATTGAGGAAGTATTGGTTGAAAAGCTATCGATTGAGAAGGTGCTGATTGAAAGGATGTTGATTGAGGTGCTGATTGAAAGGATGTTGATTGAGGTGCTAATTGAGAAGATATTGAATGAACAGTTGTCGATTGAGATACTGACTGACAGAATGCTGTTGAGCATACACTCCTTGGAATCGATGCAGTTAGATTCACAGATTTCTCGATACACTGATAACTAAGTTCCGCAATAGAACGGACTCGTACTTTCTTATGTGTCATATCCGAGGAAGTTTGTGGTAACTGTTCTGTTACATCAGACGTGTCGTATGCAGCTTTAATTGATTCAAGATTATTTTTAGTCGTTATCTGCGATTTCTTTCTCTCGGTAGACAATATTTCAACTTCTTCAACTCTTTTCTTATGCTCCACCACATTTTTAATTCCCTCTAAAATTGTTTTATCTTGAAAATTTTGTTCTTCGTTGTTTTTCTGTTTATCGTTTGCGATAATTTTTTGTGACTGCTTTCCCAAATCGGATATATCACACACAAGTCTAGTTGAGTTAAGATTATTTTCAGTTGTTATTGGAACCGTTTGTAAGGGAGATTGAGTGCATTTATCTTTATCTTTTTTATCATCATGGGCTATCATATTTTTATCTTCGTTTAAAATTGGACTTTGAGAATTTCGTTGTTGAGAATGATTTTCATCATCTTTAATAGTAGGACTAGAATTATATATGATTTCGTCAGTCTCGGCAGTAACATTATCTAATGACGTATCGTCTTTCTTTTCTTTTGTATTTGTGACCTTGCGATTAAACTTTTCAGATGTTCTATGATCCATCTGCAAAAGTTCATTAAGAAAGCTCGGATTATCCTTAAGTGTGTGTAAGTTTTTGATACATGTATTTACTGCAGACCAAGGTGCTTTTAATGAAAATTTCCGTGATACTCGAGATTTCAATTTGGGTTTTATTTTTATTTCTACTTCAATATCACTACTGTTATCATCATCTGTTAAGTGAATGTCTAACGAGCAATTATCACTATAATTTGATTTGCTAGATGAATTTGACGGTAATATGGAAAAAGAATCGTTACTTTTTTCTTCCGAAGAATTTTTTTTTAATTTTGATGTTATCATTGAAAGCTGATCAATTGTTTTTTCGTCTTTTCCCATGTTATCGTTACTTGATAATAATAAATTTTCGACATTTTTTTCTAACATGTCACGGCTATCTTTTTTACCAACATTGCACGATGTTGATTCGAATGTAGATATGATTAGCAATTCCAAATTTGACGGTGCATTTTTTTGCATATTTTTGTGTTGCGCTAAATCAATACTTTCGACATTGCGCATTTCTTGATTTTTTTGCAGATTTTGTACACTTACCTCTTCCGCTTCCTTGTAACTGGTATCTGCTTTCTTCTTTATATTTTTATTTAAATATATATTTTCTATACTCATATTTTCATCTACATTTATTTCAATCATGGACGGTATATTATGTTTCGCGCTAATATCACATTTACTATTATTTTCCGTGTCAGTTGACGAAGAATTTTGTATGCCCTCTTTTTCTGCCGAGACTACATTTCCTATATTTTTTGACTTATTAGCTGATATGTTACGCTTACATATTGATGTTCTATTTTTTACTTTATCTTTTGCAGTATCGTGCATAGAGTCATACTTTTCGACATTCACAGTGGAATGAATTTCGCACTCAGAATCGCATGAGTTATCGAATTGTACTTCAATTGGTATTATACTCTCTATATTTTCCTGCGAATTATTAACAGGTGTATCACATTTATATGTTGATGCTTCTTCTTCTGACTTTTCGTCCGTTACAATATTGTGGGTGGAATATTTTTCGATATTTGGAATGGAAATGCACGAATTATTAGAAGTGCTGTGTTTATATATTGATGATGCTCCATCTTTCTTTTCATCTGTTATAGTATTATGTTTAATGTATTTTCCGGTATTTACAGTGGAATTGCATGAATTATCGGCCATCACTTCAAGCGGTATTGCGCTCTCTATATTTTTCTGTGAATTATCAGGTAATATGCATATCGATTCATCATTAATTGATTCGTCATGATTTATCCTCTTCTTTTTTATTGTAATATCACATTTTTTGATTCTTCCAATGGAATTCCCTAAATTATCAGACTTTGCTTCAGCTAGTATTGCATTCTCTATATTTTCCTGTGAATTATTAATTAACGTATCATTTGTACATATCAATGCTTTATTTTTTATTTCCTTTCTTGTTACAATAACATTTGTAGCACAATACTTCTCGGTGCAATTAGAAGAATCGCTTGAGTTATCAGATCTTACTTCGGCCGATACATCCATATCTTCTTGCGAATTATTAATTGACACATCATAATTACATACTGTTGCTCCATCTTGTATGTTCTTTTCTTTCATAGCATACTTTTTTTTGTATGTAGAGGGATTGTTTGAATTCTTAAATTTTTCCTGAAAATTATTATCTGACATGCCATGTTTACAAACCAATGCTTCTTCTTTTATCTCCTCGTCTATTATAACATTGGACGGAGAATATTTTTCGGTGCATGCATCGGAATCACATGAAACATCAGAGTATATGTTATCTATATCTTTCTGTGAAGCATTAACAGAAGTGCTTATACATTTACATATCGATACCATTTCTTTATCTGTTGTAGCATCGCTTGCATCAAACTTTTCGGCGTATGTGCTAGAATCGCATAAATTATCTGAGTTTATGTTCTCTGTACTTTCCTGCGAATTGTTAGTTAACATAGTATATTTATCTAACGATGCACTATCTTCTATCTGGTTTTTTATTACAGTATCGTATTCTTTGTCGGATACAGTGGAATCGTATAAGTTCTCGGATCTTATTTTATCTGGTATTGTGCTCTCTATATTTTTTTGCCAATTATTAACCGATAAATCATGCGTTAACTTATTTCTTTCAAAAATATATTCTACCTTTTCTTCTGTTATACTATTATGTAATGGATCATCGAACTGTTGTTTATTTTTCTTTAAATTCAACAGAATTTCGCGTTCCTCTTCACTTTCACTTGTGTCGGTATCGAAATTGCCTCGAAAACATTCATGAAATTTTGCTCGTATCTTTATAATCTTCATATTATCTTTTTTCCTATGTCGTTCACTTATTCGCTTCAGGAATTTAGAACTTCCTCTTTCTCTTATCATACATTTCGTGCTCTCCTCATTTTTTTCATTTCCTGTGTGAACTAATTCATTGTCGGATAGCATTTCGTAGTGAGATGTTCCGATAGTACTATCTGCTACTACTTTCTTTGGTGACATATTCACTTCATTCTTCTTTGGTTTCTTTATCAACGATATATTTCGATCTAAACTTTCGGAACGTATCTTTCTTTTAATTACTGTTTTAGAATCTGTTTCATTAGGCTGACTCTCTGTTTGCGAATTTTTAGATTCTAAATATACTTTTGTTTCATTAATATCTTCCTTTATGGGCGTTTGACATAATAATGTATCGATATGTTCAATTGACTTTTCTGATTTTTCTGAAGCAGACACATTTTGAATCTTACCTACGAAATTAATTACTTTTATTTTTGCATATGTTTTCGATTCTGAAATTATTGCGTTGCTTGAGCTAATATTATTTTCAAGGATATTATCAGTTTTAGATTTATAGGAATCTTCTTGTGATATATCTAATAGTTTGCTTTTTACTGGGAAAAATTCTTGCCTTATTTCACAGTCTTTCTTTTCCCTATGTTCTCCTCTAAAAACATCTTTCAAAGGAGCGATACTACTTTTAGAATCTGAATGTTCCTTCAATTGAAATGGCACAATTGTATCTAATGATTTGTTTATAAATTCATGAACAATATTTTGTATATGTTTGTTTAACGATTCATCTTCCGACGAGGAAAAGCTAGGTGACGCTTCAATAGCAGATTTTTTTGGAAAAATATCTCTATAATTTGTTGATGTAATATCAATATGAGAAATATTTGTTGCTACTTTTTGATTAAAATCTTGTTTAGTGTCATCTGACGATTCTTTTCTGAACAAATCACACTCTTGAATCTTATTTTGACACGTTTTATTATCGTTTACCGCATTAATCAATGTTATACCAATAACAGTATTTGGAATTTGTGCGTCGAATGTGTGTTGAACAATATTGTACGAGTTGTCTTCTAGTCTGTTTTCGGCATCGTCTCGGTGATTGGTTTCCTTGTGGATCGGAATGAAATTACTATGCGATGATTGCAGTAACTTCTTTCTGAAACATAAAAATGTGCAAAAATAAAAATATATAATAATTGTAAGTGTATTATAAAAAATGTGGTAAATATACTGAGTAGGAAAGCCCCCCTATGACCTTGACTTTGATATATGTTGTCAAAATCATGATTGCGAGTAATCTCCAACAGATTTGTATTTGATCTTAGATTCTGCGATAACCTCTGCGGGAAGATAGAGGCTTCACTTTTTCTACGCTTCGTGTGAAAAGTTGTGCGTCCCGTAGCAGGGGGAAAGTGGGATAGACTTTGCCTCACGTAGAAAGTTGTACTCGCCTAGTCGGTTCACCCTAAACCTCCCACCTGTCTAGAGTCATTCAACTTTTCATATAAAGCGGAGAAATAACTAACAACTTTGATTGTTAATAAGTTTTTAAT